CGTTGAGCCAGGCCCGTAGCTGGTCTGTCGTCTCCTTGGGGAGATTGCCGCGACGTCTGCGCGGTCTGGAGCCGCCACCGGCCGTAGCCCCCGACTCTCCGTATGGGTTGGGCTCCATGTGGTGCGGAGCGGGATATACGCCCGCTGAGTATCTTGCCGGATCGTAAGGCAAACGGGGGCTCGTAGGTTGTGACTGGTAGGTGTGGTGATTGTGCCAGTGGGTATAATCCATGCTATACGCCCTGGTGGCCTCTCGAGATTCGCTTCTGTCGCTGTCCGGGTGATACTGAGCTCGGTGATGGGTATAATCCTGGCTATACGCTCTGGGCCACTCCTGGGGCTTGTTTGGCGGAACTTCCGAGTGGTTCGCACCAGGCTGGCTCGGGAGCGGGAAGGGTAAAGCGAACCGAACAGCTGGTGAGCGCTCCTGAACCTCCATTGGTGCTGGCTTCGCAAATGAAGAAGTGGGAGATACGGCTGTTGCTGGGGTAGTGGCCCATCCTCCTGAGCTCCATGATGTAGAAGAAGGGCTTTGGGGAGAGCGAGACACGCGCTGCATGGGGTCACGGTGTACCCGCGGCACGGTTCGTGCTCTGTGGGCTTCCTCTTCATCAACTTCGTCTGCAGGCCTCCTACGCCTGTTACCAGGGGAGGAGGCAACATCCTTGGGCGAAATGGGCTGGGCAGTGCTGCCATTGGTTGGTGACCAGGTGCCACTGGTTAACTCGGGAAACATCTAACACAAAAGTTAGCCAACAGGCTTACCAACTTGGACCATAGACTCGAGAAACTCTACCTCTTTGACTGAGGGCAGGGCAAATGAGAATTCGCTTGTCGGGGGGTGGTAGTTTGCCATGGCTCGCGGCTGACGCATATCGGCAGAATACTCAGCGGGTCGACGGTGCATTGGGGCAAGATCAGAGAAGACGGCCATATCGAATGGCGATGTTGGATAACGCAGAGGATGGGAAACCGAGGATTGTATTCGGTATGCAGGAAGCTCCATAAGGCGCACCCTCCGGGCAAGCGATCAAATGTTCGAGCTGAGGGTCCAGGCTGAGGAAGAGAAGGCGAGAAAGATATAGTAATGTCGGTGGACCAAGGACTGCTCCGTTGATGCAGCACAGCTCAGACGTGCAAAGTGGCTTTCGGCTACGATAACTCAAGGCGGAAGAAAGGTATGCGTTGATAGAATGGCTCTTCGACGACAAGGGGCCCGACCAACACTTTAAACCCGAAGCAAGTTAACGAGAATGCCGGCGACTTTGACTGCTCAGCAACGTAGTCCTTCTCCCGGGAACCAGGAT